GTCTTTAATTCCATTTAACCGTAACCCTTCGACGAGCAAACGAAAAAACCCCCTTTTGTACGTGGAGGAGCTTACGATCGAACGATGCATTGGCACTCTTTCGTCTTCCGGTCGAGAGCTCCTCTTAAGCAAACTCCGTGATTGTTACGTTGCCAGAGCCTATGGGAGCGAAGGGGCCGAAGTTCTCGAGCGATGATCGCGTCAACTCGTTCATGCGCGCTTCAGGAACCTCGTCGGTGTTACTCTGTCCCGCGCAAGGGTTCCCAGTTCCGTCGTTCAGGTAAATGTTAGAGAAACGCTGGTTGGGGACTCCTCACGGATTTTTCTTTAATGTAGAACCGGTTGGATCGAAGGCGCCTGCCTTTCAAAGCGACGCGAAAAGCGTGACGTATGTCAGAGCCGCGAGAACGTCGGTCGCGATCACCTGTACCGCTCAAGCGTCTCCACCCCCGACTCACAGGTAACTCATCAGAAATTCTTCCACGACTTGGTTCATTGTCGAGTTGTAAAATCTACGAAGGAAGGTAGCGTTAAAGAATCGATCAATCCGAAACTGATTATGGTGGCGCGTTCTCCCTTGGGTTTAGTGCTCGCTTCGATCAGAGAACTAACGTGTTTGTATCTTGTGAATATCAGAGCCGGCAGGTCGGGTGTCACCGAAATTCCCGAAATCAGCGAAATCCGATTCGTTCGAGGTGGCAGACGGCGCCGAGATCAGTTTACTATGCGACGCCCAGGCGTTCCCTGCTCCCACGTTTAGGTCAGTCCAGTCATCGATATCCAGTCGATCCGGTAGATTACATTTAATTTGGCGATTCTGTAGAACCTGTGAACGGTGCCAAGCCTAGAGTCGCGTCCACCGCCAAGTACGACGTTCTAGCTAGCTACGCCGGAACTCCGGTCACGATGCTTTGCCCAGCGCAGGGTCACCCTCTTCCAGCTTATAGGTATTTATGCTCGTTCCAAGAGACAATAAAAAAGAAAAACGAAAACTCTGTGACGGATGGTAGAACAGAAGGTGCATACACATCCGATTTGTCGTTTCTCTATTCAGAGCCGGTCAGCGGCGCGGCACCAAAAGTACCACCCACAGCTAAAATAACAGTCTTCTCGATACCGGCGCAAAGTGCCGTAACCATGCTGTGCCAAGCTCAGGCACATCCATTGCCGATCTTCAGGTATTTACGCTCGGACGGGTAAAGAAAAACGTCTCTTCCGACCCCCCCCCCCCCCCACACCACACTGCTCGGTTCCGCACGCGAAGTTATCGGCGAGAGACACGTGAAGATATCGATTGATTTCCCGGAGGTGTGAACCCTTTCCTCGTTTTGCGTTCTAGAGCCGGTCGGAAGTAGTCCTCCCCGGTCACCGCCCAGGTCGAAATTCGACGGTTTGATGAAAATCCAGGGCCAAGCTTTGACATTGCTCTGCGAGGCTCAGGCCAGTCCTGCGCCTTTGTACAGGTGAGCAGTACACAGAAAGAGAATTCGCGAGCAAGTTTCGTACATATGCATTTGTCCTTGGTAATCTCCGTCGAAACGTTCCATATCTTCACGTCTTTTGGTTTCTTCGAGGCATCGACGACGTGTTCGACAACGACGACAAAGATCATCCCCAGTTTCCCGATTTTTACGGTATTACAGAACCACGGGGTAGTGTGCGTCCAAATGTACGGGACAAGGACGTGAATGGATTGAAGAAGGACATTCTAATCAATCTAATGGTGGGACTACCCTGTCCCGTTCAAGGTTTCCCGGCGCCCACGTTCAGGTACGGGGATCGATAGGGGGGGGCTAGTAGAACGGAAACGGGGACTTGCCTCGGGCGGTGGCGATCCTGCATCGGGTGTTTGGCAATTTTCTAGATCATTGACTCCCTAAATACCGGAGCCACGCGCTCGGTTCTCGATCGGCTTCTGTTCACAGAACCGACAGGTAATGTTCCGCCGCGAATCGCGGGCGAACGTTACGAGGGCGGAAAACTCGTCGACGTCTCGAGGACGATGGTGGTGGCTCTGGACTGCTCCACCCAGGGATTTCCTGTCCCAGTGACAAGGTACAATGTCGATTAAATCCCCTGTTACCGTCTCGAGACTACGATAAACGCGTTTCAGAGGGCACGAACAAGATAGCTCCGCGGTCCTCGGGGAAGAAATTTGAAAGGGAAGTGGTTTTGGCTGCTAGAGGTCAGGATATCGCGTTGAGTCACTCGCTTCAGGGATTTCCTGTGCCCTTCACAAGGTAGACACATCCCCCTTTTCCGTTTTCGTTCCTTTGGTTTCCTTGTTGTCGTCGTCGTCGTCGTCGATGAGTCGAATCAGTTGATATTCGTGTCGTTCGATTGCTCCACCTTGGAACGACGATGTTTATAGTTGAGGTAAGTAAGTCGCATGCGATGATTACGCGTGATCTACTCAGGATACTGGCTAATGAGGAGGATAAAGAGGTACGTAATACTATATGATTTGTTGCGAGGACCGGGTTCTGTATTTTTATTATATAAATAAGATTTGTCTAAGTAATAAATTTTATTAAATAATAAAGATTGTATTAAATAAATAGCGCTATTACTCATTGAGAGTATCGATACCTATTGGAAACCCTTTCCTCGCGACAGAACACTTGCAACAATCTATCAATGAACAAAAGTGAATTTAATTACAAATAAATTCAAGACAAAGCAAACGAAAATGGACGAGTGTGTTATTCTGGGCAATAAATGGTATCCTTCCAGAACCGTCCGGTCGTACTGCCCCAAAAGGGACTGGAGACGGCCTTAATAAGTACCGCGGGGTAGAGGGCGAGTCTCTGGCGCTGGCGTGTGCGGCACAAGGCTTTCCTGCCCCGATCTCTAGGTACACAAATTGTTCCGTATAGCTTCTACTTTTTTTTTCTTCTTTTGTTTGGTCGTTTATCTTGCTCCGCAGAGCATGGATCCTATTTTCGAAGCGTTCCATCCTTACCCTCTACCCCGTGTCGGGTGGCGGTACCGCAAAATCCGAGAAGTTGGACGTTTGACAGAGGCGAAGGTAGACGAGAAAGAAACGAGAACTAACGATAAAAGAGAGAGAAAGAGAGAGAGAGAGAGAGAGAGAGAGAGAGAGAGAACGAATATCGATCGACAAGCATAATAAAGATAGGGGATCGAGGACAAAACGTAGCCTCGAAATGAAAAAATGAGGGAAAAAAGTGAGTGGGCAAAGCACGGATAGTAAACGATCCAAAATCGAAACGCCCGGTGCTCTCCGTGAACGGTCCCACAGAGACTGCAGAACGGCGTAGATCAAATAGGGCGTGTTTTATTAATCTTAGATACAGATCTCTCCGATCGTAATTCGATTCTGTGTGTTGTTTCGCCTGGATCCAAGTCGACAGTAATCGCGACTCGTAACGTATGAAAAAAAAAAAAGTAGTCACACGAGCGAAAGGAAAGAAAAGTGAAGGAAATGTTGATTAAGAAGGAAAATTGTATCCTGTATCCGGGGCCAAATCGGACGTGTTGGTTTTCAGTGCCAACTGGAGCCCCGTGGCGCAACCCCGAGATAGGTGACGGAAGCGCGACTTCGAAAAGGATGCGGGCCCTCTTCTCCTTCGGTAACCTCGGTGCTGATCAGGGTGGTTCGAGAAGTTGTCACCCGATCAATGGGGCGAACAATGTTGCCCTGCACCTGCACACCTCCAATAAGTCCCACGATATCTGGCTGGTAAGTCCTCGCCACCTTCGTGCCTCCGTTCATCCATTCGTGTTTTTCACTGCCCTCCCCACCCTCCGCAATTTCCACCCTCTCTTTCTCTCACTCGCCAGAAATGTTCGTAAATCCGTGTGTGCGTCGCATTGTCCAGTTGCTGCACCATCGTGACACGTACCGCTAAGTCACCATCACCTCCAACCATCTAATTTGTTTTCCTAATTTCGATCACTCACGGCGGCCAGTGTGGAAGAGTTTAGTATTTTGTTTTCGAGCCTGTTTATTTTTTCTCTTGATTTCGATCGATCCTTCGTTTCTTTCCGTTACCGTTTCTTCGTCTCCTTACCTACGAAATCGCTCGTGGATGGGTGCCCCATGCGTCTCGAGTCGACAGAGACGGACATTGCTGTCGCTGTTCATAAGCTTTCTGATGATCGGCCTCTGACTTTCTTCCTTAGGCACGATTTCGAGTCCACTTGTCGAGAATCCGCGTGCAGCCAACGGGATATGGGGCCGGTGCATCACTTGCGCAGTTTTTGTTTTCGATCGTGACGAACTCGCCGCTGCCAGCCTCCTGTCACACTCCTGTTCCCGACCTGCTCTGCTTTTACGACCGCCGTGTAATGCCCCAGCTGCATTGAAACTCTCCTTTCTGATTAAGTTTGCGCGAAACACGTGCTAATGAGCCGGCAGTAGAGACACAGACGCCCATGCCCAGAGACGCCCAACGCCCTGCATACACGCTGCCGTCTACAAGACACCAGACACTTGTACAATAAATTGAGATTGGAACGCAATGTTTTGAAGTCCGACCGACGTGATAGTTCTTAGCAAGAAATATAAATTAACACCATTGCACTTGAAATATCTATATAAATGTGTCACAAATGAAAAATACTATTGTGTGATTGTATGGAAAATGAATGTGTCCAAGTATCACGAAGTCACCACCGAAGATCAATTTATTTCTTTTAAGTTATCATAATTATATATTATTTATATATTGTGTATTGTTTGCTGTGTGCTGAGTTACTGTGTCGTGTGATCGTAACAACGATCTGTATTAAAAATCTACGAAGTGTCCGGTGACTTGTCGACAGAAGTGTACATACAAAACTAGGAAACGAAACCAGCGTAAAAGGAAGCGAATAGAAACGCTAAATTTTAAGATTCTCGTTTTTTCTTTTAAATGTGTTACTCTTTCAAGAACAGATCACCGAAATTTCTATTGGCTTCGTTTTACGCAAACCGACCAGATGCTTGGTTTCAGCAACCAGCCCACAAAACAATCCCCCTCACCCTCTCGTTTCAGATGGTACAAGTTCATCGAGGGCTCGTCTCGTCGTCAACCGGTCCAACTGAATGAGCGTGTTCGTCAGGTCAGCGGAACACTGATTATCCGTGAAGCTCGCGTCGAAGATTCTGGTAAATATCTATGCATCGTGAACAACTCTGTGGGCGGCGAAAGCGTCGAAACTGTCCTGACGGTGACCGCACCATTGGCCGCGGAGATCGAGCCCAGCACCCAGACCATTGACTTCGGAAGACCGGCAACCTTCACCTGCAACGTCCGTGGAAACCCCATCAAGACGATCTCGTGGTTGAAGGATGGCAAGCCTCTTGGACTGGAGGAACCCGTGCTCAGGATCGATAGCGTGAAGAAAGAGGACAAGGGAATGTATCAGTGCTTCGTCAGGAACGACCAGGAAAGCGCACAGGCAACGGCTGAATTGAAACTTGGTGGAAGATGTAAGTCTAACTTCTGAATTGATTAAGTAGTCCAACTTCTGAATTAGTTAAATAAGTTGAACTACGAGTCCCACGGCTGTGAGATGCAATGGTAATCGAGATTAATTTCTTTTACACCCGCAGTCGAACCCCCCCAGATCCGTCAAGCGTTCGCCGAGGAGACTCTTCAGCCTGGACCCAGCATGTTCTTGAAATGTGTCGCCAGCGGAAACCCAACACCTGAAATCACCTGGGAACTCGACGGCAAACGGTTATCCAACACCGAGAGGCTTCAAGTCGGACAGTACGTTACGGTCAATGGCGATGTGGTTTCTCATCTGAACATTTCCAGCATTCACACCAACGACGGTGGACTCTACAAGTGTATCGCTGCGTCGAAGGTGAGTGTGATTTTTCGGTGTTCCTTCCTTTTTGGTGAAAAGAATCCAGTAATAATACTTCTGAATCGTGATTACAGGTTGGATCTGCGGAACACTCGGCCCGATTGAACGTCTACGGTCTTCCCTTCATTCGCCACATGGACAAAAAGGCTATCGTCGCCGGTGAGACACTTCGCGTGACCTGCCCAGTCGCCGGATATCCGATCGAAAGCATCGTATGGGAACGGGACACGAGAGTGCTGCCAATCAACAGGAAACAGAAGGTCTTCCCCAATGGCACGCTTATCATCGAGAACGTCGAAAGAATGAGCGATCAGGCGACGTACACGTGTGTCGCGCGCAACGCGCAAGGCTACAGCGCTAGAGGAACGTTGGAAGTCCAAGTGATGGGTAAGTTCGATGCTTCTTTACCACCCTGCGTTTTTAATGTCCATCGCGCGGAATCGTTAATCGTACGCGGATATAACTAGTGAGTTATATCCGCGTTCTATAGAGTCTTTTTGACGGTAAACCTTTTAATCCTTTCGATATTTATGTCGAGTATGCTCGTCAGGAAAAGATAGCATTTTTTCGTTGAATGACGGATACATTCATTATTAAACAAAAAATGTTCAGTTTTTATTTAAAGTAAAATTCAGGTAAAACAAAAAAAAACATATTCGTAATTTTAACACAATTTAGAATAGTTTTAGGACAACAAAAAGAAGACTTACAAAGAAATAAAAATCGGATTTATTTCAATTTTACAGCAAATGCATTTACTCTGCTTTCGTCGAGTATACTCGTCATAGTTTAAAAATAATGAAATAGAATTCTTAAAGGGTCAATGAATATTTTCTTAGATATGCATTTTGCGTTGATATTACGGCCGCGATTGAATGACGATCGAAAGAACTTCTTTACTACATTATAGGTTACTTCGAAGAAATGACTTTTTTCCATGAGCAAACGCGTATTGTCAACGGAATCCTGCGTAAAACATTCTTTACAGGTATCCAGCCGATAGATTCGACGAATGTTACACGATAGCATTCAACGTTCTATCACAGCTGTAACGAGTCTTTCAGCAAACACTGGTCCCCTTTCGACGATGTCGATGGGGCCCAGCCACGAAAACCCGATCGAATATCACGGGCCACGAACCGAAAGTCGCGAGCGATCGTATACGGAAACGCGCGCGTGTACCGCGATTCGTGTGATCCGCGAATGAAAAACGGACACGGACACGCACACGGACGACAACCCCGTTTGCAGAATTCACGATCACGTGGCGCGGTGAACGCCTCGTGAAAAACGTGGGCGCTCGCGCTTTCGTTTGGGATATTGGAAGTTGGTATGGCGGTGGCCGACGATCGACCGTAAGAAATCTGGTGCATTCTTGTCAGAATTGTCCTCTCTTCGCGCGTCCACCATTCGTAGTAACCGCTGCTCCACAGAGTATACCGTGTCTCTGTATACATTATGTATATATTGTCGGCCAAATGGGTTGGCTGTCGTAGCTCGGAAGTTCTATCGAAGTATCTCTAGTACCTACCGACAATATATATTTTTTTTGTTTTCTTCTGAAAATGAAAATTGCCGATCGATAGTCAACACGCCGCGTACAGACGTGTATACGTACTCGAAATTGTCTGACCCTAAATTTCGTGATAGACGCGGCCAACCCATCGACGTCCACTCGATCACACGACGTTTACGACACACGTACATACATACCTACACGTTCACGTAAACATACTATACGCTCGCGACCTATCATCATACCGTCCATACATCGATCCTCCACCCTCAGTGCCGCCCACGATACAGGAGTTCTCGTTCATGAAGCTGCCCATGAACGCCGGGGAGTTCGCGAACCTGCAGTGTATCGCACCAACCGGTGACCTGCCGTTGAACATACGCTGGAGCTATCCCGGAGAAGAGATGGGCGGTTCATCCGGCGTGCTCGCGAAGAAGGTCGCGGATCGCGTTAGCATGCTAATGATCTCGGTCATCACCGCGAGACACGCGGGGGAGTACGTTTGCACCGCCGAAAACGCGGCCGGAACGGCGTCACACTCGACCACGCTCACCGTGAATGGTTCGGGACTATAATCCGCTCCTAGATGATTATTACAAATTATAAAGCAGTTTCTCTCCGTCTATGGCGTTTCTTTCGTTTTCATTTCTTTTTCTGCACAATCCTGGCAAAGAGCACCGTAGCGAAAACCTTTTTGATTTCACTCTTGCATCCTGGCCCCGAGGTCCCCGTATCGAGAACCTTTTGTTAACGTTCCGTCGATGTCTCGTCATACACACCGACCCAACCCCGACCGAAATGTTCACTCGTAAAACTGACAACAAACGGGAACACACAGGACCGTGGCACACGCCAACGAGTGGAGGCTCTATTCTAATGTACGACGATGACTACAGTTGGCCCGCAGCTTCTACCGATCGCTTTCAATGCCGAGGTCGCTAACTCGGGTGACTCCGTGTCCGTGCCCTGCTCGATCTTGAAGGGTGACATGCCCATGGACATATCGTGGGCGTTCGACAGCGTGCCGATCGACACGTCCAAGGACGCTAGTATTACGATCACCAGAATCAGCAAACATCTTAGCACCCTTAGCATCGACGGTGTTTCCGCAAGACACGCCGGAGAGTACGCCTGTTCCGCATCGAATCTCGCCGGTTCTGTCAGTCGATCGGCAACCTTGACGGTGAACGGTACGCGGCCTGCCTTCCCCTTCAGCCGTCTTATCCTCTTTTCTCTATCGTCTACTGTCAGCTTTGTAATATCACTTTGATGATTCTCACAATGTCTTAACCTGCGATCACCTTCCCAGTCTTCCCGAAAAAATGTCTCCTCTCCTGCTGCGTAGTCAGTCACATCATCACCGCCATACCAACCTCATCGTTGACCAGTCGTGGGCATTAGAATACACCGGATCGCCGTCAGAAGCGTCGTACACGTGAATCGACACGCGTTCCCTACTCCCTTCGACTCTTCTAGTCGTTGCTTCCAGTCGCTCCGCAAATACTGCCATTCACGTTCGGGGATGAACCGGCCAGCTGGGGCGAACTGGTCTCGGTGACCTGTTCCGTGGCCAAAGGCGATCAGCCACTCGAGATAGCGTGGGCCTTTAACGGGACCCCGATCGACAGCCGCCATGGATCCGACGTTGTCGTAGCGAGCACAAACAGGAAAAACAGCGTACTAACTATCGAGTCGGTCGCGGCTAGACATGCCGGGGAGTACACGTGCTCTGCGTCGAATCGTGCTGGCGCCACGACTCACTCGGCACGACTGAACGTAAACGGTACACATGCGTGGATCTTTGCGATCCACTGACTGTCACATTCAATTTTTCACCTTGTCCGATATATAACTCTCGTTTTCCTGGATACTTAACATCTTCCCCCGTTCCCAGTGATCGTGTCACCTTCTCCTAGTCGGTTTTCGTTGTTCCCCCTCGTGATCAGCCTTTTTCTTTCGGTACGGAGAAAATCGATAGATTTTGCCCATAAGATCGACGCTCGGATCTGTGTGTTCGCGGCTGCGAGGGTCTCGTTAGAGGGATCCCGTTAATCTCGCGGATAAGTTCGATTATCCTTCCCCTCGATCTGTGCGACTCATCCGCACTTTTTCACGTCGCAACCGTTTCGTCCTCATGCTGACCGTGTCGCTCATGCAGTCGCGCCACAGATCCTCCAGTTCTCGTTCGGCGAAAATTCTCTCAACTCCGGCGAGATGCTGTCCGTCTCTTGCACGATCGTCAAGGGCGACTTCCCGGTGAATATGACGTGGACCTTCGACGACACCCCGATAGACCCGAGCAGACCGGACATTAATATCATAATAAATAAGAGGTTCAGCTTCTTGAACATCGACAGTGTGGCGGCGAGGCACGCCGGAAGATACAAGTGCATCGCGTCGAATGCCGCTGGATCAGGCAGTCACACCGCCGTACTATCGGTCAATGGTACCCCCCTTCGTACACACGAATTTATTACTTTACGATCGTATCCGAGCCATTAAAAAGCACGTCGACGATCCATGGAAGGGACGTGTATCGATCGATGGGAACGTGGAAAGAGAGCTTTTAGCGAATGAAACTTATCATCTCAGGCAGACTATAGATAACGGAGTATCGATTCGCGAATCCATCATTTCCGGAAGCTTGTTTCTCACGTTCCAACAGATATATCCACCTCTCCGACGATCGATCGACGAGTTTTTCAATCGTGCTCTCTCTCTCTTTCTCTCTCTGTCTCTACTGTCAGTATTCTTCCTCGTAAATTCTTGTTATCCGCAGTAATCATCATAGTGTATAATCTGTATCGAAGGCCACTGCCGTCGTCGTGCCGATGATCGTACACGCGAACACGTATGTCGATCCGCGAGTGAGTGGTCCGTGTGGGAAGGTAAGATTATCGTCAGAGACGACGGCAGGTAAGGACACGGTCCATCCCGCGGATACAGCGAGATGATGGCTCATCATTTATGTTTTTCCTTTATTTTGTTTCTTCACGTGCTCCGTAATCGCTTTTTATTTTAACAGTTTTATTTTCGTACATATACCGTTGTGTCGATCCTCTTGTGTCCCCGATCCCTGAGTAAATAATAATCTAATTTTCACCACGCTCGACGTATTCTTCCCCCTATCGTGTTCCGACAGAGCTCCAGCGCGTCGTTCGTGGTTCGTTGTTCGCGCGTTGCCCGAGCACGAGAACCTACAATGTCCCTCTCTGGTATTAGCTCCTGCGCGTGATTCAAAGCTCTTTTCCGAAATTCCAGTCGGCCCGCAATTGGCGCCGTTCACATTCGGTGACGAGGCCGCCAACGCAGGCGAGATGGCTACCGTTCAGTGCGCCGTGATCAAAGGTGATCTACCGTTGAGGATCGTGTGGTCGCTGAACGGTCGGCACATCGACGCCGGGCGCGTGTCCGGCGGTCATAGTTACGACACACCTGACATCGTCGTGACCAGAGGTAGCAAACGGATCAGCACACTGACGATCGACTCGGTGGCGGCGAGACACGCGGGCGAGTATAAGTGCACCGCGACCAACGCAGCCGGATCCGCCTCGCACACGTCGGTTCTTTCAGTGAACGGTATACACATACGACTATTGGTTAGCCTGAAAAACGATTGGGTGAGTCCGATTGGATGGTTGGCAGTGATGGGCCAAGGGTGTACGTCGCTTCGAATACTATTCGAACAACCAGTTTGAAGGATACTCGAAGCAATCGGACCCATCTCTAGGTGAAGGGAGGGAAATTTGAACGCCCATCACTGGAGGTTAGTTGATCGTTGCGAAATATCGGGGGTATGCGATAATTGGACCGCCACTGAGGGTGAAGGTGTAACGTTGAACGACATTCATTCATATTCATCTACCGACTCGATCTCTCGGATTCTTCTCCTGCCGTGAAACGTTCTTTAGGTGTCCGGTTATTGTCAGGCCTGCCTGTCCAACACGGTGCATTTTTCCAATAACACGTCGTAGGCCGTGGTACGTTCGTGCTGTATCCATAGCGTTCTTGTCACGTCGACAGTATCGCCGCGTATTGCTCCGTTCGAAATGGCCGACCAGGCGGTGAATTGGGGCGATTCCGTGTCGGCTGTCTGCACCGTGGTAAGCGGCGATTCCCCGCTCGAGATCACCTGGGCGTTGAACAGCATGCCAATTGATCGAAGTCATCGGATATCCGTGACCACCACCAAAAGGAACAGCCTGCTGTCCATAGACTCGGCCAGTCCGAGTCACGCGGGCACGTATACTTGCGTCGTCTCGAATGCAGCCGGCGCGACCAGCTATTCGGCGGAGTTGACAGTGAACGGTACACTAACAGTAGACATCCGAAACGAGTACAGATAACCACATGTACAGTCATCATCCCTTTCCTATCGGCCCACGATCCCTGTCCTTTGGTGCTCTCGTTTCGACGATAAATGGTTTTGGATTCGAACCGCGGGATTTCTTTCTCTTGTTTCGTCACGATCGATCCAGATGTGAATCGTTTTAGTCGCGCCGCAGATAGCCCCGTTCGTGATCACCGAGGAGCCAGCGAATTGGGGCGATTCGATCTCCGTGGTGTGCGCCATTCTGAAGGGCGATCTGCCGATCGAGATAGCGTGGGCGTTGAACGGCGAGCCGATCAACCGTGATCGTTCGGACATAAACATCCTGGCGACCACGCGAAAGAATAGCATCCTCAGCATCGAGTCAGTCGCGGCTAGACACGCGGGCGAGTACACGTGCTCCGCGTCCAACAAGGCTGGAGCGACCAGTCACTCGGCTACCCTGGCCGTGAACGGTACAATTTTCTCAACAGAGACATATCCTTCGACATTTCCCTTGTTCGTATCCTCTGTCTCTATCGTCACTGTATCCCCATTGCCTACCGTCGGTGGTTGATTTCTTGGAATCTTCGTAGGATCTTTCGTTCGCTAGGTCTTCAATCCTCTTAGGCCGTCATCCTCTTTTTGGACATCTAAGATTATACTCCAGCGTGTAGTGGTAGAAATTGCGTCGTTCAGGGGTCACTATGCCGAATGACTATTCGATAACGAAGGATTCTTTGTTCGTCCTAGTTGCCCCCGAGATAGCTCCGTTCGTGATCAGCGAGAGACCAGCGAACTGGGGAGACACGGTCACCGCAACCTGCACGATGTTAAAAGGCGATTCTCCGATTCAGATCGAATGGGCTCTGAACGGTGAGCCGATCTCACACGATTATCCCGATATATCGATCGCGACCAGCAGGCGTGTCAGCCTGTTGACGATCGACGCAGTGACAGCGAGTCACGCCGGGGAATACACCTGTATGGCCGGGAACGCGGCCGGTGGAACGAGTTTCACCGCGACATTGGCCGTGAATGGTACAATACGTGTTCCTTAAACCCCCTCACCCTCCAAACGGTTTGCTTTATTCTCTCGATGCATGCACCGATACTCGGCCAGACAGCTTTCCATCATATCCCAATTCGCGTTGTCCTCCTTAATCCCGTGTCGTTTCGTCGAGGTATACAAAGTGAATCTTTAAGCAGGGTATCGTTGTTGTTGTCGTCGGATGTTCCATGGTAAATCCAC